GTGTGTGTGTGTGTGTGTGTGTGTGTGTGTGTGTGTGTGTGTACAGGCACGCATGTGCTCTTCTGAAAGAAGCGGGGAGGGGGCTAAGGAGAGGGAAGCCGATGTGAAAGGGGAGCGGTCCAGCCCCGTCCGATGGAGTGGGGGAAGCAGCCCTCCCTGCCCCCACCTCACCTGGGGACTCCTCACACTCTCCTCTAGCGGGGTCTCCAGCGGCAGCCACAGAGGGGAGAGGCAGGGTGGGGCACCCTAATTCAGAGTCTGAGCAGAGGAGACACAGCAGGACACAGTATAGATAAAGGGGTCCCAAGGGTGCCCACGAAGAGGCCTGCTGGCAAAGCAGACAGAGCTGTGGGGAGCCGCAGAGGGTCCACCTGCCAGCCCTCCCTGGTCAAGGCAGCTTTGGGGAGGGAAAGGGGGTTCCACGGGGGACACAGGCTCTGACTGATAAGGATCAGCACCCACTCCCACCCTACGCGTAGGCCAAGCCTCTCCATTCAGCAAAAATGCACCACAAGGGCTGGGTCTCCTCCCAGGCAGCCGCCCCCACAGACAAACCCACATCCTCTCCCTAGAGAACCCCTGGGGTCCTCCCAAGTCTCAGAGCACCTCACTGGTTCCTTCTGCAGAGAGCCCACCAGGAGGCGGAGGAGGTGGCTGTCGGCCGCCCGGTTGGTGTGAACCAGCTCTGCCTCCGCAGCTGTCCCAGGCAGCTCTCCTGGCCCCTCTCCTGCTCTCCCACAGCCTGGAGCCAGGCCTCGGGCCTCTCCCACGCTGGAGGAAGATAATCACCAGGCAGGAGAGGACAAGTCACCCACTCTTCCTCCCACACCCCAGGGAAGGTTGCCAGGGCAGGAGGAAGGCCCGAGTCCACCAGCGGACTGTGCAAAGATGGGCAGAGTCCAGTGAGGCGCAGGGCTGGGCAGGCTGTGCCGAGTTTACGTGGCCCCTGGAGGGTGCGTGCATCCTCTGTGGGCGCACATGTGGGCATCCGTGGACCACATGGAGCAAGAGGGAGACAACAGGGCCGCTGGGAAGGAAAGGCCACTCTGGGGGGCAGACGTCCACTTTGCCCTCTGTCGCCAGCAGGAGGGAGAGACTCTTCTCTGTCTTGCAGTCCCACAGCCAGGCTCCCTGGTCCAGCAGCAAGCAGAGCTGGACCCTTTCTCAGAGCTCCCCCAGGCCGACCCCAGCTCCGTGTTGCACTGGCCTGGATCACTGTCCTCAGCCCGGGTGAGGTGTATGGGAAAGTCCCCTTTGCCAGCGGGCACCAGAAAGGTAGCGCAGGGAAAGTGGGTCACCAAGGGTGGCATCTGGGATGCCTGGGGCGTGCCCAGTGGGCCCCCTTCCCTGCCCTCACAGCAGTTCTCGTCCGACTCACCGCGTGTCCCCTCTGGAGTCTCCTGCTCCTCAACCCTGAGCTGGGTCTCTGCCTCCTCCCTTGTCAGGACAGGCCCGGGCCTGCACTCCGAGCAGATCAAGCAAGCTGGGGCTGGCCCGGGTTTGAGCAGCAATGGAAAGGACTCAGGGACAGCCGCCTCCAGTCAGGGGGCTTCTCCAGAGAGGGAGCAAGGAGGGCAGCTGGAGAGGACAGCAGGATGAGGAGTCCTGGCCCAGCAGCTGGGAACTTCAGGGTGGCAGCCTTTGCCCCTGGGTGCCAGTTTCCTCATCACGTACAGCTCTTCCTGGCTTCCAACCATTCCTGCATGTTCTCTGGAGTCACAGGTAGCTGGAACCCAAGTCCCTACCCAGGAAGACAAATCAGCAATGTGGGTGACAGGAGCTTGACAGCTGCTGGGACTCAGCACCCCCCCAGACACAGAAAGGTTCCTTAGTGGAGAGGGGTCACTTCAAGGGCCTCCCAGCACCCAGGATGGAGACAGCCTACTGTGAAGGGGCAGAAAGGGGTGGTCAGGACCTCAGGCCAGGCAGGGAAGGGCTGGCCCAGGGCAAGGTCATCTGTCTTGTCACATGTAAGGCTTGGGGCAGAGGCTCTGGCCACCACACCTTCATGGACATTCAGGCATTTGTAGCAGAAGGGGGAGAGGGAGTAGGCAGGAGGACAGAAACGACTCTACTCTCCACCCAAACCCACCCAAAGGGAACTGGGAGAGCCCAGCACAATCCCCACCCCACTGCCAACCAGCCCATGCCTTGGCTCCAAGCACCTGCCTTCTCTGCCCAAGAGCTCAGCTCCCAACCTTAGCTGGGGCCCAGCCTGTGAGGGGACAGGGTGGGCTTATGGCCAACGGAGCTCAGACCGTGGAAACCTGGGGGCACTGGACAGCCGCTGGGGGAGGGCTTTGCCCACTTCCTCCTCCCCCACCCTGTGGTATCCTAGCTTCCTGTTCTTGATCACAATCAACAGCGGCCCCGAGGGGGTGGCTCTTTCCAACCCCTTTCTGCCCCATCCTTTACCCCAGGGCCCCCAGTGTCCACCATGGGAAGCACTGACCTGTGTGGGGAGATCGAGGCAGAGGCCAGCCTCAGGTCCCTGCCCACAGGTGTGCTAGGGATTCCCAGGCTCCTGCTCCTGCCACCTCACTGGCATTGCAGCCAACAGCTTCCCCAGCTCTCCCTGGCCTCCTCAATAGGGAAACCCACCCACTGCCTGAGGAGCACAGATGACAGGGAAGTGAGCCAGGATCAGCCCACCGAGGAGAGGCTCGGGAAACAGCCAGTCCCCTCCCCAGTGCCAAGGCCAAGGGCAGGTGCCATGAGGCCTCCTGAGCCCGGTCATCTTTGCTCTTCGCCTGAGCCTCCTCCCCACGGGCCAGCAGACGGCCAGCCCCTGCCCCTGCCCCTGCCATGTGCCCCCTGCACCCCTGTGCCTATTTATTGTACATCATTTCTTTTTTGCTGTCACCTTTTGACAGCTGAATCAGAGAAGTAGGAGGAAGAGAGGATTGGGATTGTGCATGTCGGGGGCCGGGGAGGGAAGGGAGTCAGGAATGTTACAAGGTAAAAGGAGCCACACAAAGACCATGACCACAAAGCAGCTGGGCTGTGGGCCAGCAAGAGGCCTTCAAAAGCCAGGCAGAGATGGGGGGCTGTGGAAGCCTGGACTTGGAAGCCACTCCCCAGGCCCCAGGCAGCAGGTGGTCCAGCAGCAGAGAGGACACCACAGAAGTGGGTCCTGGCGTCCATCCACCTGTAAGTCTTCTGAAGATGTGAGTGTTCTGAGAAGAGGCCCAGAGGGGCGGAGGGCCCTGGGCGCCTCCAGACTCTCCTCCAGGTCAGCTCTGCCATCTGCCCCCTGGGGGCGCTGAGCCAGGCAGGGCAAGGGAGCCGAGCACAGCAAGGGCTCGCGGCCTGCAGAGAGGCTTCTGGCCTGGGCCTGGGCACTTCCTTCGCGTGCAGAACAGGATTCCTGCCCGCTCCTCCACCACCTCACGTCTGTGCCACATCTGCTCTGGGAAGATGTGTCCTGTGCTTGGCCGTGAATCCCAAGGCTTGAAGCAGCAAGGGCTTCCAAGGAGAGCACTCGGATGGAATCAGAGACGCAGAAACAAGTGGCTAAGGTACGGGGAGTCGGAGCAACCTGGGGCTCCCTCAGGGACAACACAGCGCTGAGCTCTGCTCAGGAAGCAGGCTGAAGCAGGGCATGGCCAGTACTCGGCAGCGAACGCGGCAGGAGGGAGCAGGGTGTGGGAGCCAGGGAAAGTGGGGTGGTCCGGAAGGCTCAGGCCTTGGCCCATTCCCAGGACACCCCAGCCTGCCCCTAGGGACACAGGCAGGAGGCACCCGACCCCTGGTGGCAGCTGCAGCAGGCGCAGGAGGGCAGCATGCAGCTGGGGAGTGCGTGGGTGGAAGCGAGGAGGGGCGGAGGGAGGAAGCTGGCTTCCTGAAGCCTTCTCAGCCCTCAAAGACAGACCGACAGACAGACAGACAGCTGGCAAGAGGCAGCAGGGGACACAGCTGCTTCAGTAAGTATCTGAAGAAGGTGCAGGAGTGCCGAGGCCCTGGGGTCGGGGGAGCCCTGGGGACACAGGAGGGCATCTCAGAGGAGGGAATGTGGGGGGTGAGTTGGGGACCACTGCCTGGCTGGCGAACGGGTGGCGGTACACCCAATGTTCCCGAGGCTGGGAAGGCACGGAAGCCACAGGAAGAGCAGGAGCCAAGGGCCCACTCTTGCTGTGGGAAGTCCCCTCCGTCACCCACACCTGTGCCGGCCTATGCTGTCGCCCCGGCCTCCATCCCTGTGGACTCGCCAACCCAGTCACCCGCCACCTCGGTGGCACCTGGGACCCCGGCGCTGGGAGAAGGGGGCCGCCCTCCCACGGAGGTGGCCTCAGCACCTCCGTGGTCCCCCTCGTGCCCCCAGCTGTCGCCTCACCATGCACTGTCGCTCAAGGGCTTGGTGAGGCCATTTCCTGTGACGGTTACAGAGGCGGGAGATGGGGGATGGGCAGGAGGAGGAAGGAAACACCCCCAGCCTATCTCCCTGGACAGAGACCCCAGAAGGCAGAAATGAACTTGGGAGTGGAACTACGAGCAGTTAAGAGAGGACCCTGCTGGGGGCCAGCTGCCCAGCCTGCCTGGGTCCCAACTGGCTCCCACACTGCCACCAGCCCCCAATTTGTCATTCGGAGAAGGCCTGCTGGCTGGACTTCGATGGTTTCTGTGCGCTCTCTCACATCCCTCTGTATGACATATAGCCTACATTTCCTCCCTTGCCTTCTCTCACCTGGACCCGTTTAGACCTCTGTGTACCTTGGTCTCCCCTCTTTCCTCCTCCTTCTGGATTCTTTCTATCTTCATCCACAACCTGCACCTTCCCCTTGCTAAAACGCCAGGATGCCCACTGTCCTGGCCACTACCAAAGAGATATTGTCCTTCCCAAGGCAAAAATGAGCCGGTCTGGGGAGAGCAGAAGACACCCCCAGTGAAAACCGAGCAGAGCCCTGGCCTGGGCTTGGGAGCCTCCTTCTGGCAGATCCGGCAGGGCCACACACCGGCTGCGTGACTCTCTTTCAGGCACACAGCATGGCTGAGTGAGCTGCTCTGGGCCAGCACACACCCCAGCATGGTCCAGGACTGTGGGGGACGCTCCAGAGAACAGCCGTGGGCCTCTTCTCTGGGGGCAGCCATGACCCAGCCTGTGCCCACCAAAGCACCAGCCAAGAAGCATGTACGGCTGCAGGAGAGGTGAGATCTTCCCTCTGTATGCCCCTCCAGCCCGGACAGCTGACTGCAGAGGGCCTCAAGCGTTGACTCCAACCTGGAAAGGAGACCGATAATGCTCACTTGCGTGTTGTTTGCATGTCTGGGACACAGAGGTTGTGTCAACCCTGAGCCTGCTTGCTCGGCGCCGGGTTGTGTTGGGCAGGCCCTGGGGCAAAGCTGGGGGCTTCCGGGTTCTGGGTGTGGGTCTAAGCCTCGGGCCCAGGTTGGGAGCAGCAAGAGGTGGGTAGCTGAAGGAGCAGTGAGGTCCAAGGCTGCTCTGTTGGGGATGGAGAAGGGAGAAGAGCATCAGAAGGAGCCTGAATCCTGGAAGGCTGGGCCTTTGGGTCAAAGGAAAGACCAGGCATGGCCTCCTCAGATGTGTGTGCGGTTACAATAACTGTAAGAAAACCAAACACAATGGGCGCTCACTGGGCCCTGGTTGGCTGTGCCTGCAGGCGGGGCTCCAATGTGGCTCTGATGCTGGACGTGAGGTCCCTGGGCACCGTGGAACCCATCTGCTCAGTGAACACACCCCGTGAGGTCACCCTACACTTTCTGCGCACAGCTGGACACCCCCTTACCCGCTGGGCCCTGCAGCACCAACCGCCCAGCCCCAAGCAGCTGGAGGAGGAATTCTTGGTAAGAACTTGAGGTCCCCTTTGCATTGCTCTGAATCGGAGGCAGTCAGCTGGCCCCACTCCATCAGGGGCTACTCTTCAGGAGGCGTAGGAAGCGAACCTCAGGACTCAGGAGAGGAGCTGCCCCAAGCTTCCTGTTTTGCTCTCCAGCCCTCCCAGGCCTACAAGGCAAAGCCAAGGAGGAATGGCTAGGGCCCAGTTCTACCAGAAAAGCGTGAGGGAACAAAAGGAGGCTGGGGAAATGTACCTGCTGTTCACTTATTTCTCCCCCTGCCAGAAGATCCCCTCAAACTTTGTCAGCCCTGAAGACTTGGATATCCCTGGCCACGCCTCCAAAGACCGATACAAGACCATCTTACCAAGTAAGGATGAGAGCAGGAGCCAAGGGAGGTGGACACTGTCCCTGGGGTGGGGAACTTCATAAGGAAAATACACAGCCTGGACCAAGGAAGAAATCTCACACCATGACCTAGGGGGCAGAAGGGCCAGAGATCACAGCAATGGCCAGGCACTGCCCTACGTCCTTTATATGAACCCATTTCTCCCAAAGTCCCCATGAAATAGGCACTGGAGCATTCGTGGGCCCATTTTGGAATGAGGAAACTGAGGCACAGAAAAGTGGCATGACTTGCCCGGGGTCCTGGAGCTGGTTGCACCAAGCCTCACTCATCTCCCATGTGGGGACGCAGTAGAAGGGGCTCCATCAGGGTGGCTCCCCGAGAGAGGGCTCTGAGGAACCCACATGGAGGCGAGGCAGTGATCATAAGCAATAGGGTGGAGTAGGAGACCCCGGGCAGTACCGGGTCGACACCACCAGTTGACAGACCCAGGATGCGCACCTCGCATTTTTCTGAGGCCCTCAAAGCCTCTCCCGCCTGCTCCTCTTACATCGCTAGCCCACCTCTAGCCACTCCCAGGTTTAAAGCTTGAGTCAGCTACTCTATGCCCAGCCTCCTGGGGGCTCCCCGCCCAGTGGTTCAACGGGCTGTGGGTATGCACCCACGCTGGGAGAAGGGGGGGGTCCCTTTGTCCGAGATCCCCTCACCTCCAGGTCCCTCTGTCCACAGCCAGGCTGGCACAGGAATCAAACTCAGGAGCTTGCTCTTGCAAGGCAGGTGGTGGAACCACTGAGCTAAATCCCCGGCCCTGTTCAGGTTTGACTTGGAGGAATCCATCCCTCTTCGGAGGGACACCTGCAGGCCCCGGGGGCTGAGAGAATCTGAGGCCTAGTCCCACTCCACTGCTATGTGACCTTGGGACAGTCATTCATCTGAATCCCTACCCACCAGCAGAATAACAGCATCTTCTGGGCCACAGATTTAGCTTAGTGATTCCACCGCCTGCCTTGCAAGTGCAAGGATCCCTGGTACCAAACAAACAAAAAATAGCATCTTCTTTTTCTACTCCTGTCGGTGCAGTCCTGTCCTACACCAGTACTGATCTGGAGGGGAGAAGTCAGGGTAACTTCTGTTCGGTCTCGGCTGCTCCTTTCCCTTTCCCCTCTAGCGCATCCTACATAGACCTCAGTCTTTCCAAACTATTGGGCTTGGCGGGGGGGCTGCTGGGGATGGAACTCGGGTCCTTGCACTTGCAAAACAGGCAGAGGAAGCACTGAGCTAAATCCCCGGCCCCATTGGGTTTTTTTGTTTGTTCTGTTCTGTTCTGTTTGCAGCACTAGAGACTGAATCCAGGACGTCATGCTATACAAACTCCCTGCCACTGAACTACATCCCCGGCCCTTTTTATCTTATTTTAAGACAGAGTGTTGCTAAGTTAGCCAGGCTGGTCTCAAGTTTGTAAATCTCCTGTCTCAACCTCCTAAGTGGCTGGGATTACAGGCAGGCAGTGCTGTGCCCAGCCAAATCATTGCTTTGAGCATAACACCTTCACGCTCAAAAACATTCTGCAACTCCTTATCATTTATGTACAAAATAATTCAATGGGGCCAGGCATGGTGGCGAACACCTGTAATCCCAGGCACTGAACAGGTGGAGGCAGGAGGATCACAAATTCAATGCCAGCCTGGGCAATGGAGCGAGACCCTTTTCCAAAATTTAGAAAAAAAAATATTAAAGTGGTGGGGCTGTAGCTCAGTAGAAGAATGCTTGCCTAGCTTATGCAAAGTCCTGGGTTCAGTTCCTAGCACTGCAAAAATAAATAAAAAGGGATGGAAATGCAGCTCAGTGCTCCCTGGGTTCAGTCTCCACTACAGTGATATAATAACAATATTTTGATGATGATGATGATGATGTCAGTTTCCATCTGGGTACCTGCTGCACACAAAGTGCTAAGAAGTGCACAAGAGCACACTTCCCCAGGCCCCTGTTAGTCTGCACTAGTTGGTCGCCTTCTGAATTCTGCCTCTGCTGATTTTTACTTCCTAGACCCCCAGAGCCGTGTCTGTCTTGGCCGGGCACAGAGCCAGGAGGATGGAGACTACATCAATGCCAACTACATCCGAGTGAGTGGCCTGGCTTCAGCAGCTGTGGGGAATGGGGGTTTCTGAGGGCGTCAGGAGTATAATCCCAGTTCTCGGGAGGCTAAGGCAGGAGGATCACTGAGAGTTCAAGGCCAGCCTGAACTACACAGTGAGACCTTGTTGTTTAAAAAGAAAAAAAAAATCCAACCATTAGCTCCTTATGAACTAACTGCTCCCGAGATCTGCATGGAAAAGGCCAGCACCAATGAGCATCCCTCCCCTTCTCCCTCTCATTTCCCTCAAGCAGCCCCTTCTTTGTGGAAATGGTTCAATTAAGGCCCAGCTAATAGGAACCTCAAGGCAGAGCAGGTTCTCTAGCTTTTCACCTCTATTGGCCGAGTAGATGTAAAGCAGTGCCCTCTGGTGGCCAAAGTGGTAGAACAGCAGTCAGGGCACAGAGAGGAGAAAAGCTACTAGCGAATTCACAGACATCAATAGCATTCCTGTACACCAAAAACGAACCCACTGAGAAAGAAATCAAGAAAGCAGTAACATTCACAGTAGCTTCAAAACAATTACATATTTAGGTATTAACCTAGCCAAGGAAGCGAAAGACCTCTACAATAAAAACTATAGTACTCTAAAAAAGTCATCCCATTCCTAAACAGGCAGACCTAATATTGTCAAAAGGGCCACATTACCAAAACTGATGTACAGATTTCATACAATCCCAATCAAAATACCAACAGCGTTCATCACAGAGCTATGAGACATAATCCTAAAATTCATATGAAACCAGAAGAGACCCAGAACAGCAAAAGCAACGCTGGACAACAAAAGCAAAGCAGGAGGCATCACAATCCCAAATTTCAAGTTATAGTACAAAGCCACGGTGATTAAAACAGCATGGTACTACAGCAGAAACAGACACATGGACTGATGGAACAGACAGTGATGCAGAAACATCTCCAGGCACATTTGACCATTTGATCTTTGACAAAGAGGCCAAAAACAGATGCTGGAGAAATGATAGCCTTTTTATTTTTTATTTCGGTACCAGGGATTGAACTCAGGACCTTGCACTATGCGAGGCAGGTGGTGGAACCACTGAGCTAAATCCCTAGCCCAACGATAGCCTTCTTAACAAGTGATGCTAAATGAAATGGCTACCCACCTGCAGAAGATTCAATCTAGATCCATACTCCTCACCGTGCACTAAAATAAAATCAAAATGGATCAGAGGCCTACATTATTGAAACAGAAACACTTAATCTAACAGCAGATGAAATGAATAAAACTCTTATAGGCATAGGCAAGGATTTTCTAAACTGAACAAGTTGCACAAGAAACAACATCAAGAATTTAAAAAAAAAAATGGCCCAAGTATAGTGGTGCACTTGAGAGGCTGAGGCAGGAAGATTGCCAGCCTGAGCAACATAGTTCAAGGTTAGCCTGAACCATACAGCAAGACCCTGTCTCAAACAAACAAAAGAATTAACAAATGGGGTCATATAAAATTAAAAACTTCTGCACAAGAAAGGGCCTGGGATATAGCTCAGTGGCACTGCACCTGCCTGGCCAATGCAAGGTCCTGAGTTCAATTCCTGGGACCCTCCCCTCAAAAAAGGAAACAATCAACAGAACAAAGAGACAGTCTACAAAATTAGGAAAGAGATTTTGCCAGCAACTCCTTGGAAAGAGGACTAATATCTAGAATATATGACAAACTCCAAAAAATTTAGACCACCAACAATAAAAGACCCAATCAGAAAATGAGCAACTGAAATAAAGTCACTTCTCAGAAGAGATACAAATGGCCAATAAAGACATAAGAAAATGTTCAGCATCTTTGGCTATTATCGAAATGCAGCCAGGGATTTAGCTCAGTGGTACCTCACCTGCCTTGAAAGTGCAAGGCCTGAGTTCAATCTTCGGTACCATAAAAAAGAGTTAAAAGAGTTAAAGACATCATGTTACAGTGATACATACACACCATCTTCCTAGCAGCACAGCTAGTAATAGTTAGATCCTGGTAACAGCCTATATGCCCATCAAGAGATGAATGGATAGAGAAAATGTAAGATAAATAAATACATGAATAGCATCAATAAATATATATATATATATAAAACTCAGCTACAAAGGATAAATTTGAGTCATTTGTAGGAAAATGGATGTACCTTGAGACCATAAAGCTAAGTAAAATAAATCAGACACAAAAGGTTAAATATGGCATTTTTCCTTTATATGAGAAACCCAAAATATAAATAACTTAAAGAGCAAAATTTTTTAAATCAATAATAGGAAAGAGTCCTTTTGCAAATGGGAAGGGGATGTAGAAGTGGAGGTTGAGGAAAGGGAGAAGAGGGGAAGGGAAAGTAAAAAGGATTAAAATATGATAGGGCCAGCCATGATGGCACACACCTGTAATCCCAGCATTGGGAGGCTGAGGCAGGAGGATCACTGCGAGTTCAAGTCCAAAAAGGAGGGAGGGGTATGTACATGTACCAGCTCCCAGTATAAATGTATTCATTACGTACAAAAACATTGTACTGATTTTTTTAAATACAGTGAATTTTTAAAAAAATTTCTTACAGTAAAAGACATTGCCGGACATGGTGGTGCACGCCTCTAATCCCAGCACTCATGAGGCTGAGGCAGGAGGATCGCTGTGAGTTTGAGACCAGCCTGGGCTACATAGTGCGTTCCGGATCAGTCTCGACTACATAGTGAGACCTTATCTCAAAAAAC